TGTGTGTGGTTGTCACGGTGTGTGTGGTTGTCACGGTGTGTGTGTGGTTGTCACGGTGTGTGTGTGGTTGTCACGGTGTGTGTGGTTATCACTGTGTGTGTGGTTGTCACGGTGTGGTGTGGTTGTCACGGTGTGTGTGGTTGTCACGGTGTGTGTGGTTGTCACGGTGTGTGTGTGGTTGTCACGGTGTGTGTGGTTGTCACGGTGTGTGTGTGGTTGTCACGGTGTGTGTGTGTGGTTATCACGGTGTGTGTGTGTTGGTTATCACGGTGTGTGTGGTTGTCACGGTGTGTGTGTGGTTGTCACGGTGTGTGTGTGGTTGTCACGGTGTGTGTGGTTGTCACGGTGTGTGTGGTTGTCACGGTGTGTGTGTGGTTGTCACGGTGTGTGTGTGGTTGTCACGGTGTGTGTGTGGTTGTCTGGAGGTGTGTGGTTGTCACGTGTGTGTGGTTGTCACGGTGTGTGGTGGTGTTGTCACGGTGTGTGTGTGGTTGTCACGGTGTGTGTGTGGTCACGGTGTGTGGTGGTTGTCACGGTGTGTGTGGTTATCACGGTGTGTGTGGTTGTCACGGTGTGTGTGTGGTTGTCACGGTGTGTGTGGTTGTCACGGGGTGTGTGGTTGTCACGGTGTGTGTGATGGCACGTTTCATGACGACAGGATGTTAATTAGAGCGAGGGTTAACACTACTCATGTATATATTCTATGGGTTTAAAAAAAAAATAATCACAACAAGTGCTGTGAGCGCACGCTCATGAAGGGAGCCCTCGTGCACGAACAACAAGTCGCGGTGCTGCGCCCAGAGACCACGCTGTGCTCATGTTTACACACGGCGCCTGGGTTATCCCAGTTTAAGCCGAGTCGATCTAGGCGACGGCCCCAGGTCCGGTTCCGATGTTCGACGATCGCTGGCGATCGCGAGCGGCGATCGAACTCGGGACCGCCGGGCGACGCGAGCACGGAGCGCGCTGACCGTTGCGCCACCGCTCGCTCCCGCGAGCACACGCACACACACGCACGCGCGCGCACACGCACACACACATACACACACGCGTGCACGCGCACACACACGCACACACACACACGCACACGCACGCACACGCGCACACGCGCACACACACACACACGCACACACGCACGCACAACACGCACACGCGCACACACACGTGCACGCACACACACGCACACACACGCACACGCACACACCACGCACGCGCGCACACGCACACACACACATACACACACGCGTGCACGCGCACACACACGCACACACACGCACACACGCACACAGCGCACACACCACACACACGCCACACACACGTGCACGCACACACACGTGCACGCACACACACACGCGCGGGGCACGCACACACACACGCACACACACACACGCGTGCACGCACGCACACACGCGCGCGCCATCGGTCAACACAGGGATATAACCTTAGAAGGAATATAAAAAACAACGAATGCATCAACAAATCCGTAATAATCAAGAGGCAAAAGGGCAGCGTCACCGCCACGAACGCAGAAGAGCGGGGTTTTGACGACGCGAGGAGGGCGAGAGTTTAAACATCGCGGTTCAGCGAGCTGACGACGACGGCCAAAATCGTCGCCGTGTAAGAACCCTCCGCCACCCGACGGGACCCAAACGCACCGAAGTTGTGACGCGCGCGCCAGCTGCGTCACCGCTCGCGCGTCGCCGTTGTTGTTGTTGTCGTTGTTGTTGTTGTCGTCGTGCTAAAACTTATTTTACGAAAATATTTTGGTATTTTTTTAGGAGGTAAGGCCCCACTGAGCTCCATCGCTATTTTTGTTTTCAGAAGCGACCTGCCCATCACAACCGCGAGCTGGACGAAGTGGCTTCTCTTGACACGTGATGTCGATTCTAGACGTGGAGGGAAAACCCGGAGGGAGCTGGAGAAACATCCACGCGACCACGGGGAGAGAGACGCAAACTCCACATATACAGCAGCGAGCGTCAGGGTGGAGATCGAACCCACGACCTCCTGTACACCAGGCGAGGTAGTTAACATCTCCTAGCCACCGTGACACCCGTTTCACAATGCGCCGATTGTTATTAAACTCGCCGGAGAGCAACCACTTCTCGTGGCCGGGTTTAGCAACGAGACCGATTGCTGCGATTGCATGGAATGAGATTCGGGCGGCTCAGACGAGAGAGAGGTTTCTTGTCAAACTTGGCCTGTTGCTCGTTCGCTCGCTCGTTCGCTCGCTCGACGATTCCGTTTGCTGCCGGGTGGTGGAGGGGTTCTCAACAACGCAGATTTGGCCGGGATCATTGCCGTGGCCGAACCCACACATCCGATGTCAGAACGATACAAATATAAAACATTTTGGGCAAAGCGGGGGGGGCGGGACAAGCTTAAAATATAAAGTATAGAAAGTCTCCGTCGAATGAGTTTATATATATACACAGGCTATGCGGCCAGGTCACGCAGAATGCACTCGGTCCGGATCCAGGCAGATCTGGGAAGCTAAGTAGGCGTTGAGGCTGCTCAGTGTCTGGACGGGCGGCAAACCGCGCACGCAGAACGAGAGCGGCACACCGCGCACGCAGAACGACGCGAGCGGCTGCCGCGCACGCAGAAAGAGAGCGGCAAACCGCGCACGCAGAACGAGAGCGGCACGCCGCGTACGCAGAACGAGAGCGGCAAACCGCGCACGCAGAACGAGAGCGGCACACCGCGCACGCAGAACGACGCGAGCGGCTGCCGGAGCGAGGAGGAGGAGGCGGCGGCCCGCAGGGGGCTGGGTGCTGCCGGTGCAGCGCCGCTCCTGCTGCTGCCGCCACCGCCGCCGCGCAACCCCCACGGATGCAGCACGCGGAGAAGCGACTTCGGCCCGCGGAGACGCTGGGGGGAGGAGGGAGGGTGGGGGCCCGGGTGGAGATGGGAGGGGGGTGAGAGGGGTTCGGTGAGGTTAGGAGAGCGGGCGGGCTGCCGACGTCACTGCGTGCACCCCCTGCGTCGCTACGATTCGAGCGTGGCGACGACTCCATGCGGTGGGGCGGGGGCCATCCGGAACGTCCGCCCTGGCGGCTCTGCGCTGTGTGTGGGGGTTAGTGAGGGGGGGGGTTAGTGGGGGGGTTAGTGGGGGGGGGGTTAGTGGGTGGGGGGGTCACGATGACGACGCTGGGACTCAGCGGTTGCCGAACGGCTGGCTCGTCACGAAGATGTGCAGGCGTAGCAGCGAGGATGTGTGCAGGCCCAGCAGCGGGTGCACCGTGACCACCTCCAGCTCCAGGGGGATGTCGCGAGGCCCTCGCACCGCACGGATCAGCGCCAGCATCGCCGTGTGCTCGTTCAGTTGCTGCGGGAGGAGGGTGGGCGGAACGTTGGCCGGAGGGGTGGGGGGCGAGAGGATGGGTGGGTGGCGAGGGGATGGGTGGGTGGGCGAGAGGGTGGGTGGGTGGGCGAGAGGGTGGGTGGGTGGGCGAGAGGGTAGGTGGGTAGGTGGGTGGGTGGGCGAGTGAGTGGGCGGGTGGGCGAGTGGGTGGGTGGGTGGGCGGGTGGTTCGAGTGAGTGGGTGGGCGGGCGAGCGGGTGGGTGGGCGAGCGAGTGGGTGGGCGAGCAGGTGGGCGGGCGGGCGAGTGGATGGTGGCTGGGTAAGCGAGAGGACGTGTGGATGTGTGGGTGGGCGTTTGGGCAGGTGGGCTGGCGAGCGGGCAGGCGGGCATCAGGTTGACAACCGCGACCTGCCGCTGGGGGTGACCCCTCTCACCCTGAGCACGAATTCCTTGGCCTCGTTGCCGGCGCGGATCTGGAAGGAGTTGTAGGCGCCCTGGTAGTGGACGCGCGACTGCAGGTAGAAGATGTCTGCGGGACGCGGCGCCCGCCCGCGATGTCCATGAACTTGTAGCGCACCGAGTAGGGCAGGTCCGTGCACGCGGGCAGCTCGCTGGGGCACACGCACAGGCTGCACACAGAGAGACACACGCACAGATACACGCACAGACACACGCACAGACACACAGACACACGCACAGACACATGCACAGACACACGTACAGACACATGCACAGACACACGCACAGACAGACACACGCATAGACAGACACACAGACACACGCACAGACACACGCACAGACAGAGGTGGGTGAGTGAGTGGGTAGTTGAATGAGTGAGTCGGTGAGTGAGTGAGTGAGCAGGTGAGTGAGTGAGTGAGTGGGTGAGTGAGTGGGTAGTTGAATGAGTGAGTCGGTGAGTGAGTGAGCAGGTGAGTGAGCAGGTGAGTGGGCTGATGGACGAGTGAGCGGGTGAGTGAGCGGGTGAGTGAGTGGGTGAGTGGGTGCGTGGTCCACTCCTCGGTGGACTCGACATGAACAC